CGGTCACAATGGGGGCATATTGGACTGAGACCATCCTGGCCATTGGTAAGTGCACCAGCCTTGATCGCATTCTCCGTTCCAGGAGCTATTGGATTTGCACCCATAGCGACCTGATCCAGATAATTTCGTCCTAAAATACAATTCTGACAACTATGTTTTTTTAAGGAAAAAACGTGATGTTTAAAAGTGCAATTTCGCACCTATAATCTCTCTACACTTCTCATTCCTTCCAATGTGGCCAGTAAGACTTCTCCGTGACGGATACACTCCTCTGCAGGCCATGCACATCACTCGCTCATTATCAGGGCCCTAAAGATGCAAGACAGAATTCGCTTCATTTGTGACTTTTCAAGGGAAATCTGGCTTGCTCGTCTGCATGCCAAAATGGCACGAAACACAATTACGAGCACTGTATTAGTCACCTCACTCGATGAAAGGAGCACAGATAGGAAAAATTGGAAACATCAGCATAAAAGCGAATTTTCAAATAATATCCTCGTAAGTATACCGCTGTAATTGCAAATGGACCATAGTAAACTCAAGTCCGACCCTCAAGCTATTTATTGAGATATCCGAGACATCCTCTTTTTTATGTGGCAGTATCTTCCATTAACTCAACTAAATTCTCGCAACAGCATGGTTTTCCTTATTTCAATATCCATAAATATCTATTAATTATGCCCATATTTGCAGCAACTAGTAGAATTTAGAGGTTTTGGTAATTGATAAAGTGAAAACAAAAATTCTAAAAAATTTTTCAAAATTTCATTGAAACACTCAGCTTCTGGGTCATTACTAGGGTTCTTGGGATGAAATTCAACGCCTGACGGTACTTGACAATGAGTAAATTCTATTTTGGATCAGAATGTTAAGGCTAAGAGCGAGTTACTACGCAAAAACAAGTATTATTCTAATATATTTGCAATAACTCCAATTAAAGTTTTGATGTACGGAAAGGTTTGATTTGGCAGTCTTATAGGAACGTGGTATACGTATAAAGTCTTAATAAAATTTTGAAATTCATTACATACTTGTTTGAAGAAAGCCAAAAGTTGTGAATTTGAT